ATCCGTTGGATCATTTTGTAGAAAAAAATAAGAGAAAGGGTATGTGTGAGTTTGGCGCTTACGCCAACTTTTTTGTTTTTATTTTTAATTTTTTTTTTCGTGTTCAATATTTATATTGAAGCTTAATTAAATTTAATTTTATATAAAAAATTTAATATTTAAATAAGTAAAATTATTTAATAAAAACACTTTATATTTAGAGAAATTCAAACTCAAAACGTTTAATTAAAAATAAAAAAATTATTTAGTCGTAATTTTTGTTAATGCTTACGCCAACTTTGGATGTTCTTTGCGTCTCTATATAGGCAGAAAGGTCGGCCATTTGGCTACGTCTAAGCAAAACAGCTGGTCACTAAACGACGTCGGTTAAAGGGTCTTGTTTTTATGTGGATTAACACGTGTTATATTGTAATTGGAAAATGATGTGGGTCCCATTCATCGGTATGGTTTCTTGTTGCAAATTACGTCCGAGATGAGAATGAGTGTAATGACCTGGTGATATTACTTTAATACCCTTTGTTTCAGCAGTTATTACCATCTTTTTGTCGTTAGGATTTGTAGTGTCTTGATGAGTAGGGGTGCACTACAATATGAGTTTAGACGAATTTAATAGTTGTAAATATTCATAAATTTAACGTGTTTTTTATTTTATTTCTTAATTATTTATAGCTTTAATAATATTTATTCACTTCAACATATTTCGGACATTACACAACATAATTGTAATATATTTTTTAACTTTTATATTTTAGGGGTGCTTTCAACATTTATCTCTTTTTTTGTATTAAAAGTTTCATGTTTTTACAAGAGTTTGAGGTACTTGTTATGTCATGCGGCAGGTCACAAGCGTATCGGGAATGTATCTAAATTTCTTTAGTCAGGTAAGTACGTGTTTTTAAGTATGTCAATAATTTGGGACAAAACTAATAATTTGCATCAATTTTACGAATATTTTCAATACGTTTCTCTTTTTACTTTACAAGTTTGGGATAGACAATGAAAATTTGTGGAACTAAAAGATGTGTTCAATTTGAGTCGAAACTTTATAAGATAAGTGTGTTCAATTTTAATTAGCATTACAGGCTAATAAACACTAGACACTAGTTCATGTATATATAAAAGATATTATATTTCTTGAAAAAACATTTCAATAATTCCATAAAGAGATCGAAATTTCAAACATTTCGCAAATTCATGAAATATTCATAAAGAGATTAAATTCAAATCATCATAGTTCGAGAAAAACGTCATTAACTATCCTCGAATCATAAAAATCTTATTGGAAAAGAATTAAGGGAGGAATAAATTTGTATCTACGTATTTTTACAATAAAATCATGCTTTTTTATATTATATTTCATTTGTGATTGTACGGTTTAAAAATGTGTTAAAAGTTTGATGGCAAATGAAGAAATTATAAATTATAAAAGTTGGCAGAGTGAATGTCAAAAAGAAGGATTATTCGATAAAGAATATTTGTATTGAGTATTTATATGAAAACCATATTAATACCTTGACATTAAATTAAAAATCGAAAAAAATGTGTATTACTACAATTTAACAATATTAATTTATATGAAAACGGATGTGATGTAGTGACATTTTGATTTATCTTCATAATAGGCTGATTTGGTGTAAGTTTGGATTAATTTGGTAGACGATTTTTTTATGTTGAATCTCTAAAGGAGAAAAACATGTCTAAAAGAAGAAGAAAAAATGTGTGGAGGTGTATATTTTTATTTAAAATTTATGAATTTTAGAATGAGTTTAAATCTAATAATAATAGAATTCATAATTAATATTTAATCAATTTTTTATATATATGAATAAAAGTTATTTACTTCTCATAAATTTATAAATTATGTTATAGATTTATCTCAAAATGTTCCTTTAGTTAGTCATATGAATACTTATTATTATAAATTATGTAATATATTAAGGGTCATATATAACTATCAATATCCCACATGTATGCGTAAATATACATGATAATTGCTCAAGTATAATATTCATTTAGGAACTAGAAAAGTTCAAGATTCTTTTTATATTATTTTGCCTCTCACTTTCAACCGTACTTAATTACTTGATTAACCAAAAATTAAACAAAAAAAATTACATTTTTTTTCAAGTTTCTTAAAGAAAAAATAAATTAAATTATAAAAAACAAATTAAAAAGAAATGCCGGCTTTGAGAAGCTTATGGAACTTTGCTATGATAAAATATTGTTATGATTATTGATAATATGCATTTAGATTTCATTAAATTGTTATAAGCAAAGTATGAAAAATTAGAAAGAGTATGAATACAGAAATATAAATCATTAATGATTTTTCCTAGTGAAATCATGACGACAATTGAAAAGCACAATTTAAATATACTTTTTTTAAAAAAATATTTGTGATCTATGTACACGATATGAATGATAATCAACATAAATATTTTAATAATTTACTTTATATATCATATATGCCATATAAAAAAATCATTTAATAATATTTCAATATGATGAAATCATATTTTTATAATAAAATGTCATTATAATAAAAGAACATTATAACAAGGTTTAAACTGTATAAGCATTACCCTCAATAAAACGTGAATTTTCAACCTTATTCAAATTAATATTTATATATTCAATTAATATAACATATTTTTATGTGATTAATTTAACTATATAATACACAGTTATTTTGTATTTTTTTTAATAATTCCTACTTATCCATAAATACTTATTTGTGCTGCAAATTTATTATCATCTGGTCAATTCTCTATCTTATTAAAAAATGTATCTATATAATCAAAACGAACTATTTTAGACAAAAAAACATATCTAAAATACTTTTTTCTTGTTTTCATCATGTTTTTCATTTTCTTTTACTAGCAACAAATGAATAATTTATTGGTTAGGTGATCTTTCTATTTTCAACAGTCACTATTATGCAAATAAAAAATTTAAAAATTTTAAAATAAAATTGCTTTGGGGATATAAAAAGGAAACTTATATTATTTGCACAAAATTGGGATGACTTCATAAAAAGACTATAAACTATTAAAAGAAAATTGTTATCTAAAGCGAAAATTGCGCTCCTCAATTGCAAAGTAGCTTTATAAATACTCTATTATAATACTCTTCTTTTCCTTCCAAATGCAACTTACTTTTAATTTAAATTTATTAATTGCTAATACTAATTAGTCAAGATCAAAGTTAGTTAATTATAGTATTTTTAGCCTATTACTATTGAGATATTTTTTTGATTTTTTTATTTCTACTTATACTCTGAATTTAATTTAATGGAGTTAGATGAATAATAAAAATTGATATAACCAACTTAATTTACTTGTAATTGACATAAAATAATAATTTTTTTAAATAAAAAGACGATAGATATTATTAATTAAATGTTGATATATGAATGTTCGACCAACATTCACTCTTAAATCTTGACTAAAAATCCTTACGTTTATATAAAAAAAATACTTCTTTCAAACCTCAAAAAGTTGGGAAGAGATTAAATATTAGAAGTTTCGTCTCAATTTTTGAACAATGAAAATTTAAAAACTCTTCTTCCCCATTTCTCTATCGTTTAAAAAATAACATATAAATATCGTGTAATTTATTCTGTCTTTGTTGAATTAAGCGAAATTTTATAATTTGTATTGTCGTTGTTATAAAATAATTTTCTTGTTCTATCATAAAAGGAATTAATATAAACACCTTGACTATGATGAGGAGTTTAGATTATTACGGTGATGATAAAACTTAGAGACGAGGGATAATGTGTAAGAAAAATGATTGTTAAATTTGTACTATTTTGTAAAAAGTTCAAGAACAAATTTTGATCATTTACATAGTGAAATATAAATTTGACTCTTTTCACTTATAAAAATGACCCCACATGTTATCAAAATAAATTTTTGGTCCATTTCATAAAGTATCAGCATAATTTTGAACCTCTCCTCAAATTAAAATATCAAAATATAGAGATACGAATATGAACCTTTCCATTTTATATTATGCAATCTTTATGTAAAACAATGAGTAATGTTAATGATATTTGACTAATTCAAAGTTGCATTGTGTATTGTTTCACTTGAATATTAAAATATTTTTAAATTTAAATGCGCATTTAAATTGCATATGAAATTAAATGCTAGATTAATTTTTTAATAAGAAAAATATCCTGCTAAATAAACTCTTGTTCCGTTTCACAACTTAAGAATAAGATAAGTTTAATAATTAATTACAAAATAATCCGATCAAATTTTATAAAATGGAGGAGTAACAATTAACAAATATGGCAATATCAATATCAATTAGAGCACGTAAATTCAAGTAAGACTACTAATGTAAAGTTGTCATCTTCAACGTTATGTAAATATATAGGAATTGAAATAAATTTTTGAGACCTTCCAGAATATTTTAACATCGGGAAAAAGAAGAAAATTATTTTTTAAAAATGATATTGTTGTTACACTTAAATCTTTGTGGTTACGAGCAGAGGCGGAGCTAAAGTTTTTAATAATGAGATTTAAAATTTGTAGAAATAAATACATGAAATAGCCGAAGGAGGTTCGACATCTACTATATATACATTTAAAGTTATTCTAATTATATATAAATAATATAATTTTTCGTCTAAGAAAATTTACCCCCTTCGTATAAGATGACTCCGCCCCTGACTGCGATATTAGAGAGCGGAAGAATGAAAACCTTAAAATAGAATCGAAATAAAATAAAAAAATGTGAAAGATCTTATAAAATAAACATATTATTTTAAAGAATATCATTTAAGGCTTCCATTAAAAATCGGTATGATTCATTTACATTCACTAAGAAGTTTTATTATAAAACAAATATTCGTAATAATTTGAATTTAAATAATTAAGATTCAAATGTTAAATAATAAACTATCCTATTACTCTTATTATTAATTATTATATTATTTTCTTTTGAAATATTATTATTTATTATATAATAAATTTATCATTTTATTTGAAAGCCTGACCCCATAAAAAATAGAAGGAAATTGAGCAGCTATTTCTTCAAAATCCATAGGAAATTGAGAGGAAAAAGCATTGCGTTTCGATTATCAAAATTCAAAGGGCTTATAGCTTTCTTCGTACGTTTCATACGCAATTAGCTTCATTTTCTTCCACTGCACAATTCATGTTGAATCTCTGGTAATTGTTCTTTCAGATTTACAGATTTTCATTTCCTTGTTCAGTTATGAATCGGACGATTGTATTTTTTTTTTTGTATTTTATTTGAAGTTTATATGACCTATGTCCTCTTTCGGTATAGATATCTGCAGTTTTTCGTTTTTTTTCTTCATTCTTATTATATTTTGTGCTAATTTTTGATTAAATCTGTGCAAATGAGTGATCCTGGAAGCATAAACTTAGGAACTATTACTTATGTTTTGAATCCCTTTTTGCTATTCCATATTGTGTTATTTGGGCCTTTGAAGAAGTTGAAATCTATATCCACTATCTACAATAGGCAGAGTGGAGCCAGGAATTGAAGCTTGTCATTTTAGTACTTTTTAGTTGCTGCGTTCTAAATCAATAATTTGTGCATATAATTGAATATTTTAAGACTGTTGTAAGGGGTTTGAATCAAAACTACTAGATTTTGTCCGCATCCTACACTCTAGCTCTGCCCTAGGTGGTGGATCCAGGATTTGGATGTGGTTGTTTGAGTAGAGAGAGTAGGTTTCTGAAATGTATATCTAATTCTATCGTTTTTGTGTCTGAAATGTATATCTAATTATATCCGAACTACCGAGTCCTTTGTTAGATTCACCAATGAGATTCATGTAATTTCATTTGGCAGTGTGATTATAGTTTATAGTATAGCTTGTTTATATGTAATGGTGTCATGGCATGATGTATATCGTAAACAGAATGTACAGAATGAATTCGTTATTTTAGTTAGCTTTAGGATTTTGGCAAACATATCTCAATCAATCAGTAATGCTCCTCAATCGAAAATTAGTTGGTGTCAGCTATATGAGTTGTATACTTATTACCCGTTATGCTTTGACATACATATCTCCTTGAACTTGTCTTTTCTACAGGGGTAACAAAGGGCAACGGGCTCAGTCAAGTCCTCAAGAAGCTAATAATGGTTCACGGTATTCACCTTCTGTAGTCAGCTCATCAAGCTCTTCCCTCCCAGCAACCCCTAGTTCAAACTCTTCGGTCAGCTTTAATGCACAGAGTCCGACAAACAGGCCAAGTTCTGTGTCCCAAGTTTCTCCTGCAGAGGGTGCTGACATCATTGCTGCTTTAAGAAACAAGAGGTAAATTTTAGTTCATATATTTTGGCAATTACACCTATATAGAAAGGATCATTAGTTATGTTGCAGTCTTTGTTTCTACCAGAAATAGATTCTGAACTCGCTGGGATTTGTAACAGAGATTCCCACTTTGTTTAGCTATATGGTTATCAAGAGCCGTTTCATGTCACCATCATAAGATTTAACATAGATTTATGATTTTGATACATTTATGTACATTAGACGCCTGAAAAGACTATAATCTATATAATGGTACTGATACAATTACATAATAGGAATCAAACTTTTTGAATGTTGATGAATTCTGCTTTCTTATCGTACGGAGCATTATGAAACACCAAGTTGTGTAATGAACTGAAGTGCATACAGTAAAAATATACTGGATAGTACAAGTTTTGTCATTTGAAAGCAGAATTCTTGCAATAAATGCAGAGGTGCTTGTAGGAAACTACCAATGAATTATAATGAAGATAAAAGTTTTATATCTGAAATAGATACTCGTGGTTCGGTCCATAATCGGAGGTATCTTTACGGTAAATGAAAGAACATATATATTTACTTTTTGATCATTAGTATCCAAGGAAGCAATTAACGGCATCCTTTAAAGTACCATTCGTGCATGTTTTGAGAATGATGAATAGGTTTTATCTTAAAATATGATTTGACGATATGAAGTATCCTCTGCCTGCAAATGCTTCATGACTTTTTAGTTTAGAAAACAAATAAAAAGCTTCATGACTTGATCATCTGTTTCTGATTATCATTAAACAATCAAATGAAGAGCTTAGCCTTTTTCACCATTCTTCTTTTTGCAATTTGTTTCTGATTTTCAGTATGCTTTCTTGTTAAATTGTTCAGTGCTAATGAGCTAAAGAAGCTTGTTTTTGACAAGGATGCTCGTCACAACTTCTTACTTTCACTTGAGGCTGTCAAGACTCAGAATAATGTAAGTAATAAAATTACTTGTTTCCTTTTATAGTCGAATATACTGTGGATCTAATTTTTCCTCATTTTTTCAAATATTTATTATACTCCACCAAATTATACACTTCGCAAATTGAATGAACGGCGGAGTGAGATTCTGTTTTTAGTAGTAAAGGGAGGAATCAAATTATACACGGGGGATGACTGGATTTAGTTGTTCTGTCTGTGTGAGGTTCTGCATTCATGATGTTATAATTTAGTTCTTTCAAGTGGCTTACAATCTCATGAGACTTGTGCATTACAATGCACATCATTGCTTTTTGGTGATCTCACCTCATACAGTTCAAAGTAATAATACTTGCATATTTGGATTTGGTTGGCCTTGTTCTTGCTTCCTTTCTTCCTTGCCAAAATGAACTTGAATAATCTTTCTACCTCCTGTATGCTCTAATCTTCTTCTTACACAATGTATGTGACAAATCGTGTATCCTCATGTCTTATGCATGTTAGCAAGGTAATTTCAACGTGAGAACACAATTTTGATCTGTTATAATCACCTTTATGTAATATTTTGTTGTAACAGGCTCAATGTTCTATGTAAATTTCTATGGTAGCATCTTACTCTTGCTGTTTTCCCCATATCTGATCAGGTCAGGGATGAGCTTCGCAATGCAACTGTGCAGCTTGCTAGTAAGTTTTGGGTTGCTTATTGCCTTATTATAGGTAGTGATATATCAACTAGTATCTGCATATAGATTTTGAACAAAATTCTTATGCAGGGGAGAATTTAGAAAAAGAACCCTGGATAATGGAGCTGAGAAATCAGGTTAAATACTTCACATTGCTTCTAGAGTATTTACTTATTTGTAACATTTTAGCATCAAAGCACTGACTTGGGGAAAAAAATTTCGGTGCACCCTCCTTTATTGTTCACAGTGCAGGATAATCCGCACAACTGAACTGGCTGCTGCTCAAGAAAAGATGCATGAGCTGGAAAGGAGAAAAGAAGAGCTTCTAAAGTCATATTCTCCTGTATCGCTTCTCCATCAGCTACAAGGTAAATAGTAGAAGCACATAAAGCTTGTATGCTTTTTTCTTTTCCTTTTGGTTGTTTGTTATTCTTTTTACACCGGCTAAAATATTATAAAGTACAATTACAGATCAATACGACAATAGGAGACTTCTTACTATGTCACCAATGCATAATAACAGCTTTTCATAATGCTAAATATACCTTTTGAAGTGCAATCTTCATTGGCATCCTCTTGATCTACTTTGACAAATATTCTTATTTTCCTCTCAACTTATTGAAAACATTAGTTCCTTTCAACCATTTTCACTCTGCTCCACAATTCAATTACCTTTTTGGATTAGTACACTCTATACCACTTCTTTTTATGTCCCAATGAGAAAGTTCCATCCATATGAATGTTATCATCAGATTTTGTACAAGTATTCTAGTTGTCCTTTAAGCGCATATCTGATTCTATCCACTCTTAATTAAGGAGCTAGTGTAGAATCTCCATGTAATGAGAAAATTATGTATGTGTAAGAGGAAATTTTAACTTCATAGCTTTGTGCTCAATTTTGTAACACATTGTTACTCTCTCTATGATGGTGTTATGTTGGGAATGGAGGGTAGGAAAATGAGGATTGGTTTGTAAATCAAGAAAGATTTTCCAATTTGTTGCATCTACCATATGCTGTTTTCCTTCCTACAACAGTTCCTAAAAAAATTTACTTCATAAATCTGTATCTCTAGTTGCTTATAGTGATCACAACATTCTTTTTCCGTTTTTGGTTGAACTTGTGTAATACCAAATTGAAGTGTCCTTAGAATATTGAATTGATGGCTAACACATTGATTTTTTTCTTGCTTATGGGATTAGATAACTGATAATTAGACTTGCCAGTAAAAGAATTAACAGTTGACTCTCTATTGATATTTGATACAGACGCGATGAAGAAAACGGAGGAGGAATCTGAAGCCCTTCTCGGCCAGCTCCTTGGTCAAGAAATTGATCTTACAACATTCGTGCAGAAGTACAAAAAACTGCAATACAGTTACCACAAGCGTGCCCTCACACATCTTGCTGCTAAGGCATCTTTAGGCAACCATAGTTAACATCTCTTGAAGACGCGTAATGTAAATGTACCATCATGAACTACAATAGTCCCAATTGTTTCCTTCATTTTCATTTTCTTAGGTCTTTTGTAAAATATCAATATAGATTGTGGGAGATGGCGTAATTCATTTGATTTTATGTTGATCTTATATTACTCGTATCACCTGCAGTACCATTGTGCACTCTTGTAGTTAGTTACAAATCTATTTTAACATGCACATTTCTGTGGTAAATACATCTTTAATATGCACATTTCTGCTACAGTCAAAATATGTTGGGGCCTTCAAAACCCAACTTTGCTCCCATACACTTAGACACCCTCACCAACTACTTATAAATATTTGGGTCTTCGATACAATAATCTTGGATTTAACTTGTATAAAAACAAAGACTCCAGATTGACTGTTTAACAGACTGAAAAACAAGAATTACCAAAATACTGGACAAGGAACGGCGAAAACAAGAAGCAAGGACACAAGGAACACCCCCATGCCCCCACGCGCATACAACAGTTTCCATTTTCATGTGATAAACTACACCTGCAATGAGACCTGGAAAATGTTCAGCTCCCTGTATTTTCTTCTTTCAGTCGGTCCATTTCCTTCTCCCACTTGAGTCCGAGCATTTGGCGTCCAAAAGGGACGATAAGGTTGTATCGGAAAACCTGAAGCCAAGACACATATTTAGCTCTTGCAAGTATTACGGGCTCTAATTAACTTTTGCTGAATCTCAATACCATGCTAGATGTCAACAGTAGACTCCTAGTTCAGCCATCTACTAACAGAGCATATAATACTAATACATCATCAAATATGGAGAACCCAGAGACATACTATGACAACAATTATGGGTTAACACCGTAGCAGTTCACCATAGATGGAATAGGAAAAGAAACAGAACTGAATAGGTAATTTGAAAAGTAAATCAGTTCCTTGTTCTGCTCACCTTGTTATTGATGTCACGTATCTGCAGCTTTAGAGAGTCGGATGCCTCGATCCATATAGAATCATCGACAGAGCCCTGGTGCGTCCATGCCCTTTTAAGTGCTGATCTCCACTCAACGACTCTATCTCTTATCTCTTTGTTCAATTCAACCCACTCAGGTGCACATTTATTTCTAGAGAGAATCCTATACAAGGTATCTTCAGCTGGATCAGCATGAGGATTAGTATTGAGGTCTAACGGTTTTCCCTTCCCAGGTAAGTTCTCAAATTGCCCTTCTTCCATGGAATGCCATATTCGTTGTTCAACAACATTGATAATGTCAGTTTCCGACCTGATCAATATTCCATGCAAGATCAGAAATCAGGTCCATACCGAGCTCCATTCATTTACAGAAAAACCAAGGGTGGCATTAAGACAACTAGTACAAAATCTAGCTCCTCTAACAATTAGAGGTGAAATTCTCTAAAGAGGTACTTATTCGAATGAAAAATAAAGATGCATATCATCAAATCCAATCTCAAATCACTGACTCAAAAGCAACAACAATATTAACTGCTCCGTAATAAATCAAAGAACTTGACTTGGACTTGAGAGGAAACTACACTTGGACACCGAAGAATATACTAAAGTGGTAGCAACATAGCAATTGAAAGCCTAAACTAAAGTGAAACTACTATCATATAAACCCCAATTAATACGAAAACACACTTCCAGATTTATGAACACCTAAGTATTCGTGATACAGAAACGCCAAACTAAAGTGCCCAGTAGGAGCAATGTGCATCAATGCAACATTAATACAAATGATGATGCTGTATTGATTCAGATACGAACTCCAATAGTTAGTTCTTTTGAGTATACATAATCAAGGCAATAAACATCACTGAAATTTTTTTGCAGTAATTTGAGCTAACAATAACACATAATCCCAGCAGCTGAATCATCACATCATATCATTCTCTCAAATGTTCAGCTTGAGCTACCTAGCTATAATACCTTACAAAGTCTAAAACATCAAGAAGTAAAAAAAAAAATCTAAATAGTCGATCATCATACAAGGAGCTCGTAGAAATGAACTTTTTTTTGGGTCATTTTTCTATATAGAATATGTGAGCATATCAGAAATTACCTAACGGCGTCACGTTGACCTCGAAGTTCAGGCGGAAGCTTACGATCGTTAACCACGTCGATGACACCGGAGAGACGATCAGTCATTTTTTTATTATCAGTTTTAGGAAACTCACTTTCTGGAGAAGAAGACGATGATGCCAATCGTGGCTTGAAGACGCCATAACTGACGGCTTCAATTCCGGCCGCCGATCTATGAGTAGCGGAGGACGATAAAGCTCCGATTGACCTCGCGAAACGAGCTGCCATGGCGGTGAGATCGTGTGGCCTAATGGGCTTGGTGGGCCTAACGGGCCCCGTTTATTTTCACAATCTTATTTGCCTACTCTCAAAATTGTTAACACGTGGCCTACTCTAAATCACCACCATTTTTAAGATTTATTTAATTAGTATTCAATATTATTTTATTTGATTCTTATTAGAATTTTATATAAAAACTCAAATAAATTAAAAAGAATGCTGTTATTTTTTTCTTCTCTATATCCTAATACATAAAATAAGTTGTATGTATATTTCATTTAAGATGGATATTACAAAAAGAAAAGTGTGTGCAAATTATATTTACGTGGTAGTTTTAACCAAATTATATATATTTTGTGGGAAAATTCGGGCTACCTTTTAAATACAAAATTTAGACTTATTTTTTTGTTTTTTATATAAAATTTAGATATTATCCATTTTTATGTAATGCATTACCTTAGATTTTAATGTAAAATTTTTATTTATTGATATGAAGTTTAGGTTGTTCAATTCAAAATACTAAGATATATTTAAAATAAATGGGGACATAAAACAAACGTTTTACTAGCTCTATCCGGCCACCCATATTAGTACAGATGTAATATGAAAAACTTTCATAACAATATTATGTTTAAAATGTTGTTACTATATTATAAAAAATTAACAATAATATTGAATATATAACACATGACCCAATGTGCCAAAACAGAAATTTATATGTTTTTCACTATTTAATATTTACGATTTAAGATAAATATAATACTGAGAAAAAAAGTTTGTGATTTTTATTGATAAAGGATTAATTAACTAGATGTTCAATGTTAAAATTCTATCACTCTATTAATAATTTATCATATTAAAAATTATTAAAAGTATCTTTTAACCTATATTATTATAATTGTAAAAAAATGTAATCAATAATAATAATTGTCCAATTCTTAAAATTGTTATTACACGGCCTATCTCAAAACACTTACCATTATATTTAGAATTATTTGGAATCTGATTATAGATTTTTTATTTTTTATGTATGCAGGGATATAGCCTACTTTTAATATTTAAATTTAAATTTTATTTAATTACTAAGAATGTAATAATATATAACTAATTAATTATAATTATATGAAATTAGACTTCAATCTTCCTCATTTTAGGCTTTATTTTTCTTCTATTAAATGCACTATTTCTATATACTACCTTATGTATGTTATAATAACAATTTCCTTGGATCTAAATTGATAATTATTTATTTGTTTACGTTAAATCATACAAATTTACTATAGAATGTGAAAAAAAATTTCAATGAGGAGAGAATATATAATAATTAATCATGATTATGGGTTTAGAATAAATAGATAATTCATGTCATGAATATAGTAGTTCGATATAAATGTTAAATATAAATAAGTTTTTATTCACAATACTATACATCAAATAATAGATGTATAATATATAATGTACATCAACTCATATAAGTTATACATAATTTAGTTCATATACATTTATAATTAATTACCAAATACTCTATTAATAATATTTACATAAATTACACTGAATATATTGTCCACGTTTTCGTCACCTTATCTCATAGACAAAAGAGGAGCTTTCCTTTTGGCAATGTACACCACTAATTTTCAGCAATAGAAAGTATCTCAAAAGGCCAAAGATTATCATTTGTCTGCTTCTATGACTTCTTTCACCTAAAGTCTCTCTCAGACACCCATGCTATTTTTGTGTAGACTATCAAATTTCACGTGACACATTTATTGAAGTAAAGGAAATAATTTTTTTTATAACATTTTAAAAAATGTTTTAATTTATTAATTATCATAACTTATTATTATTATTATTTTAATGCAATTTTAAATGTATTTTTTAAAATATTAATATTTTATATAAAAATTTATGCAAAAAACAAAAAAACAGTTTAATCATTATATGCCGAATTATATCACGTCAAGTTAAATAGAGGGAAAAATAATTAGTAATGGGAGTACCCATATATGTCCTAGTAATTAATGAAATAAATTGAAAATCACAGAGATTTTATATTCAAATTCTTACATAAGCAAAAATATTAATAGATGGAATTAATTATATCTATGTTGATAGGTAATAAAATCTCACAAAATTAATTGAGATACAAGAGCATACACTACAACTATTAAAAAGACCAATGAAAATTGGACATTTGAGTGACAAATATGCTAAAGGTTGCTATTAATAATGGGACGGAGGGATCCAGAGACCCCCTTACATAAATCTCAAATTCTGAATTCACAAATACAAAGTATTAATATTAAATTCATCAGAAACTATTATTTTCGTAAATTGAAGCATAATTTCACACTTAAAAATTCATACAAATTATTATAAGTATAGTAACTATGAAACTTAATTATAACTTGAAAAAAAAAACCCTATATTTAATATTATTAAAACCTTAAAACTTAAATCCTAGATCCGGTCATACAACTTACCCCTATATAAAGTGGCCATACTTGGCCAATAACTTCCCCACAATAAATACATGAAATCCTATAACTAAACAATATATAACATATAGTTCCAAAAAAAGTATAGAGAAGCCATGGAGAATGCAAATGGGGAACCAAGCAACAACAATAATAATGATGAAAGATTAGCTATAATGGAATTAGCTAACATGATAAGTGTACCTATGTCCCTTAATGCTGTTGTTAAACTTAAGGTAACTGATGCTGTTTGGGAAAATGGATCAAATGCTCCACTCTCTCCTGTTGAAATTCTGGCTAAAATCCGCGGCCCTCAGGGCGGCGGGGATGCTGAGAACCTTCAACGAATTTTACGTATGCTCACGAGCTATGGTGTGTTCAAGGAACATGTTGATGACGGCTCTCAAAGAAGGTATTTTTTATAACGCTAGACAGATTTAAGATTTAAAGTTACACGTGTTATTTTTTCTCTTGTGTTTATGTATGTTCTCCTCTTCCAATTGCTTGGGAGAAGAAAAAAATAATCTTAATTTCTTATATTATTGATAAAATAAACAATAACCTGATAAAAAGTTTATGTATTAACCTTGATATTATGCTAATTTAATTTGTTAGGCCTAGTATTCTTCATCTTCTTAATTAATCGAAAAAAAAATCAAGGCATAAATTTATAATATGAGGTTCGTTATTTTCCTGTGATTTTTCTGGTCCATACACTAGATATATCTATGTGTTAGGCAATTGTTAGTGGAGTAACGTGATTTGGTATACCATAAGTTATTTTATTTTTTTTAACTAAAAACAATAAATTTTTCTATGGTGTTTCAAGTATGTAATTTATATCCCACTCATCGATAATTTGTATAGTCGATCTAAATTTGTTATTCAGATATATATATAGTTATTGTTCGTTGTATACAGATATTCATTGACTAAGGTGGGGAAAACCCTAGTGACGGACGAGAATGGCTTATCTCATGGTTCGTACGTGCTCCAGCACCATCAGGACGCGTTAATGAAGGCGTGGACGATGGTTCATGAGGCGGTTAATGATTCATCGATAGAGCCATTTGCGAAGGCAAATGGTGAGCCAGCTTATAGTTACTATGGAAAAAACTCAGAGATGAATAGCCTTATGTTAAATGCAATGTCTGGAGTTTCTGTGCCATTTATGAAGGCAATTTTACAAGGATATGATGGGTTTCAAGGTGTGAAAACACTTGTTGATGTTGGAGGAAGTGGTGGAGATTGCTTGAAAATGATTTTAGAAAAACATACAGATATTGAACTTGGAATCAACTTTGATTTGCCTGAGGTGGTTGAAAAAGCCCCACAAATTCCTAGTAAGTTTCATGCTTATATCTCGCTATAGTATCAATATAATCTCATAATCGAGTGAAAGTTCAGATTGTTCAACTCTCAAAAAAAAAATATGACAGCTAAAACGGAACGGACGTGGCACAATACTCTTCATTAAGTTACAATTCAATTAGTGGTTTTAGCAAATTGAATTGTTTTTTGCAATATGTGGCTATAATGTGATGGTATGGTCAAATTTAAGATAAGTTTTTGGCGTGTAGGTATAAAGCACGTTGGTGGTGACATGTTTGATTATATACCAAAGGGGGATGCTATTTTCATGAAGGTAAGAGTCAAATATATTTTGTTTCTTCTTTAAATTATGGAATTAGATATTTATATTTATGTGTAAATTATCTAGCACAATGAGACATGTAGGTGAGTTGTTGCTTTCCAATAGTAAGTATTTTATTTGAATATTAGTTGGCAATAAAAGTTTTGAATTGTAGACCACACCTTTTTTTAATCTCTAAGTTGTCATATTTTCCATACGTATGTTTGTTTGTTTTAATTCTTTTACATTGACTAGACCTTAGTGCTATCCTTTCAAAATCGTATGAACGATCTTTAAATTATAAATATAATTCTTTCCTTCTAAAGAACAAAAAAATAAGTGGTAATAGAATTATTTGTTTATTAATTGATTCAACTATATATATAAATTTCAGTAATGTCTATTTGTGTACATTCAAAAATTGAAGGGCGTAAATATCAGCTAAAGTATTTTGACAAAAACAATATATTATAAATGCTTTAATGAAATATTAATAACATGTTTATGATCATAAGTTTCGAACCAACTTTTAACGTAATTTGTGACATGAATACATTGTAGTGGGTGCTAACAACATGGACAGATGATGAATGTAAAGAAATAATGAAGAGTTGTTACAATGCACTTCCAGAGAAAGGCAAATTTATTGCTTGTGAGCCAGTTTTGCCTCATCATACTGATGATAGCAAGAGAACAAGAGCACTTCTTGAAGGTGATATTTTTGTCATGACTATTTACCGTGCCAAGGGCAAGCACCGTACTGAGGAAGAATACCGGCAGCTCGGTCGAGCTGCCGGTTTCAACGAGTGCAAGGGTTTCTATATCGATCATTTTTTTACGATTCTTGAATTTCACAAGTCATGAATGTAACTGTGAGTGGTATGAACGTAGTTTTGTTTTAATATTAAAATATATGATGTTGTAGTTGTAGAATAGAACTACGTAACTTTTCTTGCTTTTTATATGAGAATGAAAAACTGAAACATTTTATTTATCAATGAAAAACCTTTGTGAAAGGACTTACACGATTTAGAGTGAATATAAAATTACTAGATACATTTGATTTATTACTTTTATCTATTTTTTTTAATTATAGGAGACTAGTAGGAGAATATCTTTAATTTTTCTAACATAAAAATTCATATAGTCAAGTAAAAGGTATTTTTCCAAAAAAAATTAAATTTTGATAAAAGCAAGCAGCAAAAGTAAAATCAAAACATGACCTATTTGTATTTTTACCAACCAAATAAGTAGTAAAAAACTTTAACCTTAAAAGTAAAAAAAAAATTATTTAAAAACTTTAACTTTAAAAGTAAAAAAAAATTAATACTAAAACCACAAATATTGAATCCGGACATACATTTTGGCACTTGCCCCTATAAAGCAACAACATGGCCAATAAAGTTCTTACAATGAATACATCTTGTCTTAGTCAACTCCGTATGCTTTTATTTGGTATGTTTATTTTTTAAAAATTAATTTAATCAATTTTAAAGTTAATTATATTATATTAATTCGATATTTAAATAAAAAATTTAAATATTTAAAAATTATATAAAAGTTACTATATATTATAATTTTTTGCATATCAATATGATAAAAAAATATATCTTACTAATGTTAGTTAAAGTTTTTATAGTTTGACTCTAAAAATAAAAACTATGACAAATAATAATAGACGGAAAGAGTAACTTTTTTATTGAAGTTTCGATTGAATTTGGATCACCCATTGCATGGCTCGTTTGAAGGCGACGATCTCGATATAATTTTCTTTTTATATTCAGAATTTGAATTCGAGATCCTTTAATTAGGATGAAGCACTCTTACGAGTGTATCTTACTTGTCCCTAGCTGAACAACACTTGGCGAATACATGACATCCCTATAACTAACCAATATAACATATAGTTCCACCCTAAAAAAAAGGTGTAGAAGCCATGGAGAATGGAAATGGGGAAACAAGCAACAACAACAATGATAATGCAAGGTTAGCTATAATGGAATTAGCTAACATGATAAGTGTACCTATGTCTCTCAATGCCATTATCAAACTCAAGATAGCTTATGCTATTTGGGAAGGTGGATCAAATGCTCCACTCTCTCCAAATCAAATTCTCACTAAAATCCGCCTTCAGGGTGGCGGGGATGCTGAGAATGTATACACAATATCTTATTTCTATTTTGTAAAGATAGAGAGATCATACAGTTTCCTTGATCTAAGTATAACACTTTCATTTAATTGAGAGACATACTATATAAGTGTGCTTTTTAACTGATTTCAGTTGACATTTATGTCATAGTTATTTATCATGCCCAAGGCAAGCACAGGACTGAGGAAGAATACAGGCAGCTCGGTCGAGCTGCCAGTTTCACTGACTGTAAGGGTTTTTATATCGATCATTTTTATTTACGATTCTTGAATTTCACGAGTAATGAATATAATTGTGAGTTGTACGTAGTTCTACGTGCTAAAGTGTTTCAAATTAATAATTAACATGTGTGTTGTTGTACAATAAAACTCTATTTCCAACCTCATATGAGTATGGAATATCAACTTGCCTTTAATATGAAAAGACAAATTAGATTTGAATTTAAGAAGTGAATGCATTTAATTTTAAATTAAATAATATATTGATCAATCATAATATGTCACGTGACTATTTAAATTATAAAAAAGTCATTAAGTTTATAGCATTAGTTGAAAAATATTTGTAAATTGTAAATTCAAAAATACATAAATAACATATATGATCCATTTTCTATACGTTAAGAATACTATTAATCCCTTTACATTAAAATAATTAAATGAGCCAAAAAAATAATAAAAGTATCATAGAAAAATGAGATGTGTGATGTGGAGCAAAGGAAGTGCAAATGGCATATCCTTTGGAAGATCCCATCCAATGCCAATATTCCATTTCACTCTTTTCTCCTACTTACTTTTTGGTCTAACTTTACTCAAAAGTGACAATACACTACCTGCTCAAGTCACCTTGCTTTTTTTTTTTTTATTTTAAAGCTTAATTATTTTATATTTATGTTGAAAAGTTTTATTTTTAGAATTAAAATATTTTTTATCGGGATAATTTCATTTTCAGAGTTTGGATGTGAGAGTTCAGCAAAATTCATAAAAATTACTTATTACATATAGATTATATGCCTTTTTTTTTTGAAAAAAAAGAAAACGAAAATATCATAAACTCAAAATTCTAAATCTGCTTCGCTTCGCCAATATAAAATATAAAGTATTCTTATTTTTTATTGTCATCATGATGTAGGACAAAAGAACCAAGTGGCCACTCTTATAAACACTAAGCCATGCCTTGTATAACAAACCCTCTCTCCCCTTTCATGTGAGGCTTCCTTTGCATGGTTTTACTAGTGGGCAACCACCCTTTTGCCACCAACTTTTAGGGCAAAAGGGTGGTGATGGAAGAGGTGGCTCTCGTCGTTGATTCACCGGAGATGGTGGCTTCCTTCATGGAACTATTGTCCATTGATAAGTTCTCTTGGTGGTGTTTTTTTGGTTGGAAAGGGCAACTTCTATCCTTTGGCATTTTGATGGAGGAAATGGTTAATGAAAAAGAAGAGCAATCTCAAGGATAAGGCAGATTATTCATGTTAATCCTATAGATCTCTACTTAATTACTAGTAATAATTAGTTGTTGAGTTTAATTATAATGAATATTATTGTTGTGTGTTTGTGATCTATTTTAGTTTATGATCATGTTTGTGTACTAGGCCTCTTGGCCCAAATAAAAAAGAGTATTTGTGTTTGTATTATAATGTTTGAGACTTGTATGTTATTTCAAATTATTGATGAATTTTGATTGTGGTCCTAGCAAACTAAAATGTGTAATTTAGTCTTTTTGTGATATTTAAATTAATTAGGACCGAACTATATTATTATCACTCTATAATTAGTTATTAAATTTGTGTATCATGGTCAAAACGATAAAAACTAATGCACATATAAATTAACTAAAAGTTCAATATTCTTAACCAAAAATTACAAAAAAAAATCAATATTTAAGAGATTAATATGTTAATTTAATCTTTTCTCACATTGTATTGAGGTTTGATGATTATGTAAATGTATTGTATATCATAAAAGTATTCTCCTTTAGTTTATTCATTCAAAACCCTATGAAATTCCATGATCAAACTGCAAATTTTCTAAGATAGAGAATATATAAATATTCCTCGTTTATTTTTAGTAGTCACTTATTTTTAAAATAAATTTGTTACTTTTGAGATATCAAGAAAAGACAATAATTTTTAAAAAAATATATTTTGCCCTCAACATTAAATAATTGTTTTTCAAATAATTTTTCAAGACATTTTTAATAGGAAATATCTAATCAAACTGTGACAATTAAAAGTGAACGTAATACCATACTACCTTTTTATTTATCTACATCAAGGTTAGTGCACGTGATGTATTTATTTTCTTTTAGATTCTTGTCATTTAGCGATTATAAATTTCCACGCTAATGGTAGTTAGTATAAATAATTATACTTATATTTATAAAATTTTCATCGCTGAGTAGAATATTAAAATAAGAAGTTGGATTTATCTATTTTGTTTTTATTTATGTCTTAATATAATAATGATTGTATTTGGAATAGAGGATAATAACTTTTCGTTTTTCTCTTATTTTGAAAAATATTTTTTTAAAAAAATAAGATTCTTAAAAATAAGGATAGTAATAAATTCCTTAGTGAAAAAAAAAAACAATTTTTGGGAGTGACATTTCTGATTTCAATAATAAATTCCTCTCTCATATATTGTATTTATATAGGAAAATTTTATGATACTAACTATTGCTTATGTAACTAACATTTTTCTTCCTATGGAACACACCATAATCTCTTCTCATTAAACATCTACTAGAATATTTATAGTTTTCTAAAAAAATTAATGACTTATAAAGATAAGCAAACTAATTTAATAATTTTATCTAAACTTTTAATAAATAATAATAAATATTTTTAATATTATACGACAAATGAAAAATGACAGACACGTGCTTGGTAAAGTAATAGTTATATATTTCTACAATTTCAAGTAAACGTTAAATTTCCAAGAAAGAAAACAAATTCGATAATACTTTTCGCAACATCAAAATTGTAATAGTTGAATTTTTTTTAAAAATCACTGCTAGTAAAAAAATAATTTCATTTATTTTGAATAATTCAGATCTATTTCTAAATAAGAAATAATATGGTTGGTTATATATATTATTAGAAATAATCAACTCTCAAAGATTCTTAATAGACTTTATTATTTTAATATCAACATCTTTATTAATTAATTCCTCCACATATTGCATATTAAATTTAAAATTTATGTACGCATGACTTCAATCAAATCCCTAAGAAAACAACTTTTTATTATGATATTTATATAAATTTCATATACTCCATTATATTTAATAATAACAATAACAAGAACATTGACAAAGGCTAGTTGAAGAAAATTATTTTACACATTACTATAGAATATATCTCACTATAAAATGAATCTACGATAGATATTTTTGCCATATTTACAATAATATTTCATCGCTGTTTCTATTTAACGATAAGTTAATAACAAATAGTTTAAATATTTAGTCAGATATAATATTTATTGATGAATTTCGTTATAATTTTTGTTTGTTTTAGTGTAATGTAACATTTTATTTTTTAGGGAAGGAAAAAAAGTTGTTCGAAAAAATATTAAGATAAATATTCATGAATGGAGAAAATCATAGAAACTACTAAGCTGATATCACAATATCCCTATAGAGTACCATAAATGAAAGGGAAAACTTAAAAGTCTTATGCACTTAAATTTACCTACAACAAACAAAAGATAGCTCTTCAAATAAAAGAGGCAAGGTATACTCTATAATTTTGAAAATAAATGTATGATAACAAGTTTAAAATGCTAATAGTATAAAATTCTTTATACTGTCAGTGAATGTATGTAATTAAAATTTTAAACTAATTGAGTACTTAATGATTGGTTTAAGATGTCTTGGATGAGGTTTAATATGTTGAGTCGAGAAGTTCCATTTTCTTCCATGGTCATTCTTGCTATCGTCCCTAGTTCTTTAGATCGAATTCTTCTCTTTTCGCCTTCTTCTCCTCCATCCATGAGTTCCTCTATAGCGTTCACAACTTGTTCTTTGCAAACAAGTACTCCAACTTTCTCTTCTTCTCCCCATCTAACCGGAAATTTAACTCCAACTTCAACTCCAATCCTCAGAACTTCAACAATTAGCTTCTCATTGAAGAATTGTTCCGCAAACATAGGCCATGTGATCATAGGCACACCACAACTCACCCCTTCTATCGTTGAATTCCAACCACAGTGGGTCAGAAACCCCTTTATGGCTGGATGTGACAATATAAGAACTTGAGGGGCCCAACCCTTAATCACAAGTCCCCTCCCTTTGATTCTCTCCTCGTACTTTGTGTCCAACAACCATTTCTCTAGTTGAAGAAAATTTTGATCTGCGGTCTTTATTACCCAAATAAACGGCCTTTTTGATGCTTCTAAACCGAGCCCAATTTCTATCAATTGCGATGCGATTAACCTGCATTGACTACCAAGACAACAATAAAGAACGGACTCATTTTTCATCGTGTCGAGCCATTTTAAACATTGTTTGTCATCAATTGAAGGTTTATTTCCCCTTTGATACATATCCATAACATTTTTATTACAAAGCGAAACTGGTCCAATGCACCATACCTTCTTATTAATAGCTTTTTCATATTCCTCAACACATCCATGCTCCAATTCTACAAAACTATTAACCACAACTCCATAAGCACTTGATTCAGCCTCTTGCATCTGACCTCTAATATCATCCAAGTCTGGTAATTGCACAAAAGCCCCTGGAAGTTGATTTTTTGCTATTTCAACCCTTAGTGGAAGCCCTGGCACAACAAAACGTTCCATATCCGATTTAACCTTCAAATAAGGCCTATGAAGCATCAAATTATGTGAACTTAACAATGAAAAACAACACATCCCATGAAAAACAAGCCTTGGGACGTTGAACTTTCGCGCTGTTTGCGATGTCCATGAGAGACACTTATCTGAAATTATACAACTTGGAGGGGTATTTTGGTCAAGCAAAATATTCTCCAATGGATTTTGTAACATATTAAGTGCTCTATAAAAATTTCTTATAAGGTCACGCGAAGGCACACTATCTAGATTTTCACAACCGATAGGTAAGCCAACTTGTTCACTAGGAAATGGGATTTGAATAAGTTCAATATCTAACCCAATTTCTTTTGCCCGATTGATAATAGTTGCAAATCTTGACGCGTTATGTGGTGTAGTTACTAAACTAACCTTCACACCATGCTCCGCGAATAGCTTAGCCATGTCTATCATGGGAATCATATGGCCTTGTGCTAGTAATGGAATAAACACAAAATGAAGTTTTTGAGGAATATTGGTTGCCATTGTTGAATGAAAAAAAAAAAAGGCTAGCTAACTTGTGAGGTTTGAAAGAAAAATAGGTGTTTAGATGGAAAGGGAGACTTGCATTTATAAGACTTGTTCTTAGGTTATATAATAAGAATAAAGTTTGGTTTAATATAAGATGAGGATAATGGGATGGAGGTAAGTTGCACAAAAGGGTTAGTTAGAATTTCATTTGCTAAAAAAAATTATATACTGTGCAAATAACTAGCGGCCACATTATCGAAATTTCAACGGATTTGAATACTGAGTTCTAAATTTAATATTGTATATAGTTTTAATAAAGTTGTTAGTTTGATCAAATTCGTATTTACGCTTATACCTTCATTTTTGTAAATGGGGTAAAACTAATTATTTTGAAATTATATTTACACCCTTCGATTTACTTTTATTTGTTCATTATGATAAATATATCGTTTCACTTTATATTAAGAGAATTTCCCCATATTATAACCCTTAAATAAGTTATTTATTCTTCGAGTTATTTTTTATATAAACTAAACATCAATTAGTATTAATATGAATATTCGTTCAAATTTTAGGTATAATATTTTCTTCAATATTTTTATAAATTTCTGATTCGATCACGAATTACGAAAATTTGGAAATGGTGAAGACTTGGTCATGAGTCAATTGCGGCTAGAAATGAACAAATAGATTGTAGGTGTTGACTCCAAGAGGCGGTACACAACTGGACAAAGTTATTTGGACGACTAGTGATGGTGCCATGCCCCGACCCTGCTTACACGCAATATTATATTGTTTTCATATGAATGAACTACTAATATATTTATTCGAGACTCGAATTCGAGATATTTAGTTAAGAGTAAGAGACTTTTATCAGTTAATTGTGATTTATGTTGGTTATTTTTTGTATATTTCTTTTTTTTGATATTTTATCCGGTGTCTGAAGCTCTTCCAGCTTGAAAGAAAATCTAACGGGTTTTTACATATATAGTTGAACAATGAGAACTGATTCTGTTACTATTTTCCTAGTTTAGTGACCTTTTAAAATAATTATTTATGCAATTTATGATTATATTGACATATAAAAAATAAAAATTTTGATTTGTCATGTCAAATTTATTTTAATAATAAATGTAGTTGAATGATTTTTTTAAAACAAAAATGTCAAATTGATTGATTTTACTATACTAAACGCAATCTTTTTATGTTACATTGTCGATTGGTTTAAATTGGAAAAAAAATCAGACTATGATGTTCAAGGGTGTATCTCCTAGTAGGCTATGACTACGTTAAATTTGAGTACGAAATCTTCATTTTTTTTTTTATATATTTGTATACTACGAGATAAATATTATAAATTTCAATATATAATTGATAGTTCAAAATATTTATGATTAAAAATTAATTTATTTAAATTTCAAAATCTAAAAAATACCATATAAAATAAGACCGAGGAAATATAGTACTGTTCTTTTACAAATAAAGTAACTTCTAGATGATGTGATTAATAAAAGTACTCATGACCAAATAATACATTTTCTCATTTGAAATTTAAAAGAATGTTACTATCATAAAATGAGCTGTCCTGATAATCACTTTGAAACTCTCCTGTTTCCGTGTTTTGTCAAAGTTTATAACAAGTTAAAAATATATTTTCTGAAAAAAGGACGATAGATGATAATGAAAAAAGATGTAATATTTGGACGTTAAATAAATGATAATCAGAAAGAGTGTCGCATTTAAAGAGGTGAAATGGATGAGCAAAAGTTGTCATATCATGAAGTGGGGAATAACCCTCATCTCATGTAAGACAATTAAATACATAATAATTAAAATTATTTATTTTAAAGAATCGAGATGTTAAAGACATTTTTTTTTAAAATGAAATGTTTTTGACTAATACTAGGAGTTTTTTCTTAGAAGCTAAGAAAATAATTAAATATTAAGCAGAAGCACTTTTGGAAAACTTGATCAATCATAAATATGTTTTTCTAATATGGCCAAAATAAAAAAAGATTTCATGTAATCTCACAAATAGAGTATACAGAGAATGATGTATACGTAATTTTATTCTCATCTTGTGAAGATAAAGATAATATTTCTTGTAAGTGGTGGGATAGTTGAGGTGTCAAATGAGCATATCAAATTGAAATTGAGTAAGTCGGAATAAAATAAAAGATTGGGCTAAAATCGATCAAAAACTACTTAATTAAATTAAAACGGATTGGATCACAACTCACCCAATTAAACTCAATTCTTTTGAATAGTCCACCCGATCTTGACCCGAGAAACAAAACCAAGTCTCAACCCGCCATTCAAGATATGAGATTCGACACCCGATCCAAATTCTAGGAACTGAGCCTCGACCCAACATTGACTTACAGCACGTCCTTGTATAATGCTCAAGGCTCTCGGCTGAGTAGCAAGAGCAACTTTTAATTTATTATGAGCCTAAATGATTGTAGACATTGAAATGTTGTAGGACTCTACAAGATGCGTTCAATTCGAGTTGGGACTCTACAAATTGTGTTCAACTCAGATAAGGATTCTTGGAGGCTAATCAACCCTAAACCCTAGTTTATACCTATATAAATGATACTAAATTCCCTTAAAAGGCATCTCGAAAAATCCACAAAGAGATCAAGATCTCGAATACTCCACAATTGATGGATTATTCATATAGAGAGGTCAAATCTAAATCATCCTAATTCGAGAAATACGCCACTAACGGCCCTCGAATCATGGATAAATCATCCTGGAGAGTAGAATCAAGGGAGAAACAGATTTGTACTCACAATCTTGATGAATAAAATCATGTTTCTTCATATTTTATTTGTATGGTTTATTTATTTTCCATATGTTTAATTTGTTGCAAACAATGATGAATTCAATAAATTCTTGCCAATAACTATGTTCGCTAAATAGAAACATTAAACTAAAAGCCCAAATAAAATGAATACCTAGAAAAAAAAAGGCTCGAACGCGAGACCTATTCTTAACTGTGGACGTGAGTCCAAATAGAGCAGAATGGGATCAACTGATTCATATTATCCAGGTAAATTCAAATTAAACTTTAGTTGATTTATTGTTATTTTAATTAATAGTCAATTTTAGTAACTTTAAAATTGATTGATTAAACATATATTCTAGTCGTTAGTTTTGTTAGTCTTCTTGAATTGTCAATCGTCATTTAATATGTTTAAATTCTGCAGTGTTTGTATACTAGCTAGAAACAATTTAACAACCAAAATCCAGGCCACATAGGACAATATAATATTATTTTCTTACTTTAATATTTTTAAAAAATATTATTAATGATATGTATAAAAATTTTCAAGGAAAATCATGTGCACATCGTCCAAAATCATATTTTAAATATTTTTGAATTATGTTAGCACATTGACTAATATCATACTCAATAATTTAATGAAATAAGTAAGACTCAACGTAATGCATTTTTTAGTGATTTTAAATACTCGATTGATGTGGTTAATACACAATTAATTTTTAAATTAGTTCCTAATAATTTCATTATGTTAAACTAAGTTTAAGGAGGAGATTGTATGAGAATAAAGTCTTATACCAACAACTGGAAAAAAAAACTATCAGATTGAAAAAAATAATTGTATATTAGAGTTGGCAAAGAAAATAGAAGCTATTAAGTTAAAAAAACAAATAAAAAAAATTGAAAAACTATATATGCTTAATCTAAAGCGGATTAATTTGAATATTATTAATCAACACATTTATTAAAGTGGAATAGTCAAAAAATTCTTCTTCCATAAGTTAGAAATGTGTTTTACATAAATTATTTCTTGAAAAAACACTAATAAATTATTTTGTTTTATTAAAGAAGTAAATTTTACTGATAATAACTAAACATGCAGTATATATATGTATACATATTATCAGTCGCTATTTCTTTAATAATAATACGAAGTAAATGTTAATTAATTTGCTATAGAAATTAAATTTTTATATATAGGTACCATAATCCCATAACTAAATTCATCTTTACGTAGGATTATGATAAACAAGATATTCACCCTAAAAAATTGTGTGTACGCTATTGGTATGCTATAAGTATCAGCAATTTATTACTAGGCAAAACAATTATTATGATAGACCTACAAATCCTATTAAAATTAATATCTTTATTAAAAGAATTTTCGAGTGATCAACTGTATACATATTCTACCCTCATATATATATATATATATATATATATATATATATATATATATATATATATATCTCGTTTTGTATTACTATTAACTAGGAAATTTCAGATTTTCAAAAATGTTTCACACTATATATCCTATATTTGCCTCTATATTTTTTCCCCTCACTTTGTTCAAATAGCATAATTAGATGTGACATGATTATTGAATGAAAATAATTCTAGAAGGTGAATTAATGGTACAATATTGTGGCTGTGTGGACTTTGTCGTATCATCAAAAACGAATGGCAAAGTGGCCATCAAGAAGTAGCTCGATCCACATTATAATTATCTAGAATTTTAATTTGCCATTGTGTTCATCGACTTATTAATTAAGTGGACCTGGTAAAACGTTCCAGAAAATGGCAATTCATGTTTACTCCTTCCATCCCAATTTACGTTCGACAATTCAAAATATGATAATTAAATTATGTATTTTTTTCCGCATAAATATAAATATTGAAATTTCAAGTCTTTCATGATAAAATTTACACGTAAAATGATATAGAAGTACTATTAACTATAAGTTTATTTTAACATATTATTCGTTTTGGATCACGTGTGTCTCATTTTTTTTTCCAAAAGTCTCGTACTATAATCAATCTATTTTTTATTTTATTAAATAGAGATGATTTAATAAAGAATACTTTATAAATTATTATTTTATCGGAATGGAAATAGCCAAATCGGCAAATAGTATAAGAAGGAAATAGTGAGATTAAAGGAATACTAATTTTCTTAATGAATATGAAAAGAGCTGAATCGATAGATAAATTTATAATTTCACGGCCTTAATTTCTTTAAGGCCATCTAACATAGCAACATCAATCCTAGTGGCTTGATTGCAATGTATAAAAAAGGAAGAAATTTAATTATGTTTGAGTTATGATTCGTTATTTAACTCAATT